CAATTGTATTAGCTGTGACCTACTGGCAGATAGAGCATATTATTATGTTTGTGTAATGCAAACTTTGAGACTGATTTGAAAAATTATTCGAAATACTCTGCACAATACGATCAATATCTTGTATGTTGCCGTTGTGATGGTTGTTGTTGTGGTTGGGAAATAGATGGATACAATGTATGATGATGGTGGTGCTTGTTGTCGTTTTTGCCAAAATTGTTGTGGTAATGTTAAAGGCATTGAAAAAGAAGCTGTTGATGATTGTATTGAAGATCTTGATGCTTGTGATAAAGGAGTTAATGATGTGATAAAGATCAGTAAAGGAGTGGATTATTGTAATAAAAGATTTGGATGAAGTTTGATGCTTGCGACAAGGTTTGAGTTGTTGTATCTGTTGAGTATGTGATGGTGATGATGATACTGGAAATGTATGAAAAGTCGATAAAGTTAGCTTTAATATTTGCTTTGACTATGAATATTGTTGCATTCTGTTTCCGTTAGATTATTTTGATCATTATTTTTATTAAGCAATAAATGATCTGTTGATGTTGTTGTTGTTGAGCTTGATAATTTAAACTATTGATTTCATTAATAATTAAAGGCCACCAATTTTCTTAATCCTCTTTTTTTCTTTGAAATGGTAGCAAAGCTAACTTCGTCATCATCAGATCTTTTTACCAAATTCGTAATTTTATTCTTAATTCTTTTCTATGTAGATCGAAAATTTCGTTTACGTGTGATTTTTTTCTTTTTGTTTTACTTATTAAAATGTCTTATAAAAATATTTGTAGAGTTCTTAATAATCATGATGATGATATTTTCTCAAATCTTCAGAAATTTATTCTTAATAATTGAAAGCATCAAACAATGGACCTTTTCTATTACTTCGGTAATTACATCTATTTGAATTGCATGATCTTTTAATAAAATTAATTATTAAGATTTTCAAACTTCTTTTATTTAATAATTATTATCATATCATCGTCACATCATTACGTAAAAGGCGAGCAAAAGAATTTTAAAAGATGATGATGAGTACGTTTTGGCACCTGATATGTCAAAGCAATATCCTTAAGAAAAGGATATTGGAATTAAGGAAAATATAATGCCAGATTTAGCTGTGAAGAAAAGATTAAAAAGGCATTGAAGGAAAAAGAAAAGAAAAGAAAGAAGAATTTGCATATAGATTTGAAGTAGATAATAATGAATAAAGTGAAGAATAAAGTGGAGGATGTAATGTTGTGAAGAATACAATGAATTCAGTGAAGGAGACAAATGTGAAGAACAATAAGAAAAGAAAAAGAATATCGTGAAGAGAAGAAAGAAGGAGAAAATGAACAGAATAAAATGGGTTCTCAAAAATATATTATTACTTGGAAAGATTTATATAAATATTTATGTAATTATTTCTTTATTAATAACTAATACGATCTTCTACATAGCTAAAGAAAGAGAACATACTAAAGAAAGAGACAATTGTTTGTCAGATTGTTCCGCAATGCCATTTAATAGGTGGAAAAGTCTAGTTGTTTAAATGTGTACTTATTATTATTTCTTAATTTTCTTTCAATCATTTTTTGTTCTTTATTCATTTATTTAAATTATTTACTATTTAATTTCTTTCCAATTAAGACCAGGAAATTTAAAGTTAACAAGAATTCATAATCTGGTTTAAGTAATTAAATCTCGAGATACGCTCATTAAATTATGTAGTTTTATTTCACTAATTTTAAATTCATTATCATTTATTTATTATTTATCATTTTCACTCATTTATTTATAATTTCTCAATTTTTTTTGTGTATATATACTGTATTTCTGAATCATCAAGATCAAGAAGAAGAAAGAAGAAAGCGAAGAATTAGTATTAGTGGAATATTGCATAAATCGTCAAATTGTTATTCCCGAGAGAAGAAATAATGATATTAATTATGGAGAAAATTTTTGGTATAATGTTGAATGCAATTTATCAAAGAGAGATTTATTAAACATTTTCTATTTCATTTATTATTTTTTACTTATTATTTTTTATTTATTAATTTTTATTTATTAATTCTTTATTATTAATTATTTAATATTTATTTTGTATTATTTTTTAATGGATTGATTATGTTAATATATTATGATTTATTATTTGTCATATCATTGTTACAAACTGTTAACGTATTTTATATATTTTAATGTTTAAATATGATAAGTGAAAAAAAATAAATGAATTATTATAAATATTCCCGGAATGCTACACTTCTCATGGTACAGTACGGTGAAAAGTTTGTATGCAACCCAACCCGAGAGACATTTCAAAAAAAAAATATCATTTAATGTTCAAACAAATGTAAATTATTATTATCATGAAATAATAGTACAATTACCTTATATTTGGTAGATTTAAAGATGTCAAATAGAAAAAAAAAAGATATAGTAGTAGAGAGTATAATAAAGTTTCATTAAGATAACAATTCATTCGTAATTTTATGAAAAATTTTCATCTTAGAAACTTCAAATATATAAAATAACTTTTTACATTTTTTTTACATTCGCATAAATATTCGCTAATTCTTTATTATTAAAGTAAAGGTCAAACAATAACGTAACGTAGAAATACACAAAATAAATTAAATATTCACAGAAGTGTCATTTTAAATTTAAATAAATATAATGATGTATTTATTAATTGAATAAATAGATTTTATCATCAAAATATAAAGCATAAATTATAATGAAATTATATTATCGAATTGTGCAGTCTTCATAATCTACAATAGAAAATTTACCACTAGTTGTTCTAATAGGTTTTTTATAATAATAATTATCATATGAAATCATAAGAATATTATTATAATTAAACAGTTAATATCATAATTTATTATTACTACTGCCAACACTGCAAATTCAGATATAACAACATATATGCAAACCATGTGCAAAATTTAAATGTATATTTATTGTTTTCACTTATACGTGTAATTTCATCTCCCTGAATGAATGAATGTGATTTAAGAATTACACTCCTCTGTGGACTAAAATACGGTGATGTGAAAAGCGATCATGCATTTCAAAAAAATTTCATCCAAATACATCCATAAAATAATAATAAAATAGGTTTCCTTATATTTTTACGAAAATTTTCATCTTAGAACAGTTATTTTTTATTTTTCAATAATCTTAAATACTTCATAATCCAAAATAGAAAATTCATTCCTTGTTGTTCTAATAGGTTTTTCATAACAAGGCCTTAAATAATCATAATCACACCGACATCGAAGATCTTTAGTAAAATCAGAAACCTCTGATTTCATCAAAAATTCATAAGTACCAAACCATGGACCATATATAAAATGATCACTATGATATAATAGAGCAAAACTACTGCGTATAATCCGGCTGAGAATAGAATTTTGAATATTTCCATTTTTTAATGAAAAAATGAAACTATCCTTTGTTTCCATTCGAGTACTTCTTTTTGAATTATCCCAAGCCAAAGGATTATAACCACCAACTATTTCGTCAGTTCCAGCAACCTTTGCAACTACAATTGTGCCAGCATGTCCATGACACATGTTCCAAAATGTCATAGGACTAAAACCATCTCTACTTCCTCGAAGAATTAATTGAAATTCATAAGGGAAATTTGCCGAAGAATAAACAGTTGATTTTTGATCAATCCATGATGAAAGTTCTGCCACATGTTCTTCGTTTATTATAGTCGAGAATGGTTCTTCTGGGGGTGGTTCTTCTGGGGATGGTTCTATCGGGATCGGGAGTGGTTCTCTTGGAAATAAAAAAATACCCAGAGCAAAAATTACAAGAATAAGCAAAAACAAGCCGAAAACACCAACTCTTAGTTTTAATTGCTTTTTTGGTAGTAAATCTACATTTTCGAGATCTTGTACAACTTTACTGATATTTGGACGTTGATTTGAGTCTTGATTCCAACAATCTATTAAATAAGTAATTGATTTGTATTCGTAAATAATTTAGTTAATTATTTTGAATATTATTAATAAATGAAATCAAACCTTGATAGATATTAATATAATCTTGTGGTGTTCCAATGATTGGATCTTCTCTGTTCCCCTGTGAAACATAAGTTATCAAATTTGGTTCATCCCGAAATTTAGATTCATATGGAATCTTTCCACTTGATATTTCCCAAAGCAAAATTCCAATACTATATATGTCAGAAGCTTTAGTTTTTATATGTTCGCCCAGCCTTTCGAGAAGCATTGGGTCTAAATATTCTATTGAATTTTTTGTATTAAGTTTGGCAATACCAAAATCACTAATTTTAATAGTATTATCATGGAGAAGAATATTCTTTGAATGCTATAAAATAAATTGTATTAAATTAAAGGATCAATTGTTTGTTATAGTATTTTCGAAAATTAATTACACAATTACCAGATCTCCATGAATGATATCATTTGAATGCAAATGTTCAATTGCTTTAACAATTTGTTGAGCAAGGTTTAACTTATGACTCCATTCAAGTTTTTCAAAATTAGATTTTAGGTGGTCACGTAAGGTTCTACCATTTACATATTCTAATACAAGTATATATTCTTTGCTTTCCAAATCTAAAAAAGTGTATATAATATAAATATTAATATTTCACAAAAGTAATTATTAATTAGGTATGAAAAGATTAATATTAACCTTTTTGTGAAATTCCATAGAATCCAATTATATTTTCATGTGAACTGACACGTGAATACTGTTTAAGCTAAAAATACATTAAAATAAATAATCGGAAAATTGGCAGTTTTTAGTATAGGATAATTATTAATTAGTATTTACCTCATTAACGAATAATTCCATAGTAGTTATGACTATAAATTTTAAAGTCACTGTTCTTATTCCATTCACATTCATTAATGTTGCACTGTAAATCATTCCAAATGACCCTTTTCCGATATTTTTAAGATTTCTAAAATCATTATAATCATATTTTATAATTTGATTTTCTTTTGTCACGTTATCATAGTTATTAGAATTAAAAAATCAAATCAAATATAAAGATGAAAAGCATTAATCAAACAATACATTTCTTAATATTATAACATAATAACATAATTAATAAAGAAATACCTGTAATTTCCTCCCAATTTGATGTAGTAAATGAAGGAGTAATGGATATGGAATCTCTACTGAATGCATCCACTGAAGCTTGAGGTTGGTTATTAATATTAGCTTCTTCTAATTGAATATCTTGATATTCGTTATATATATTTTCTAATTTGATATTTTCGAGAGAATCAAAAATATTTTTAATAGTTGGTCTTTGATTTGGATCATCTTTCCATGCACTTGAATATATGTTGATATAATCTTTTGGTGTTTTATTAATAAGTTTTTCTCTTTCACCAGAAGTAACCAAATTAAGTATTCCAAAATCTGGGATATCATTAAATGGAGGTCTTCCACTTGATAACTCCCAGAAAAGAACTCCTAGACTGTATATATCCGAAGCCTTATTTCTTTTAAATTTCATTTGACTTCGTAAATATACAGGATCAGTGTATGCAATCATTCCCATCCCATCAATAATAGAATTTGAATTGGTATCTGATGATTGAGATAATCCTAAATCTGTTATCAATAGCCTTTGTTCATGAACTAAAATGTTCTTTGAATGCTATTGAAGCAAATTTAGTTATATATACAATTTAAATAATTAATAATTATAATATTATGATTATCATTGTACATAATATATACATAACATATATACTTACTAAATCTTTATGAACGATATTTTTATCATGAATAAATTGTAGACCACTTGTAATATCTTTAGCCATATTAATTTTAATTTCCCAATTAAGGCTTTTGAAATTCTTCTGTAAATAAGTCCTCAAGTCACCATCTTTAGCATATTGCAACACAAGGTAGTACTTCTCTGTTGAAGGATCTAAATAATATTTTTTATTAAATAATAATTTAATTTGGTGATAATATTTATTTTATTTAATGAATTTAATAAATAATATTATCAGTAAATTTTTTTAGGCGTAAATCTCCGAAATATTATGAAATTTGCGTAATATTACGGTATTTATACGGGCTGTTTTGACTTTAAACCGTAATATATCGGCGGATATCTGTGCTAAATGATAAAACACATGTCATCCTGTAGCCCATAATCAGGCTTTCGTTCGATCCTAAGAATACCTTAATCAAATCCCTCCCTATCCTACAAATAGCGATCGAGGTCAAAAAAAATTCTTTTTTTTTTACTTTGGCTTAAAATTGCGTGTAAAAAAATTAGTAATTTTTAAGCCGTTTTTTGACTTCGATCGTGATTTATAGGTCAGTGAGCGATTTTTGATTAAGGTATTCTTAGGACTGAACGAAAGCACTGATTATGGGCTACAAGATAACATGTGTTTATTCTTTTAGCACCGATATCCGCCGATATATTACGGTTTAAATTAAAAACAGCTCCGTATAAATACGTAAGTGTCGTAATAGTACGGAGATTTATGCCTAAAAAATTTCCGGATGCTTATAAATAATACCTAAACTGATTCCATAAAAGTTAATAATATTGTCATGGTTATTTACAGCCATAATATTTGTTAACTGTAGTTCCAAAAAATTGTATTTAAATTTTAATTTCATCCCGAAAAAGTATATATTAATGGATACAATGTATTTATTTTTTACCTCTCTCACAAATTGTTCATAAAATAATTCGCATTTTCATGCAAACTTTTTAATGCAACATGTTTTCCTGAATTTGTTGAATCGGCACGATAAACTGTACCAAATGCTCCACTTGCGATTTCTGTAATATTTTCAAATGTGTTGTAGCCAAATTTTATAATGGAACTATCTTTTAAGACACTTTCAAACAAATCTTTTTTGCTATACGATAAAGACATTTTTCGGAATGAAAAATTGGGAGATTTACGTAATTATTATTACCAAATTTATTAAGGAAATTGACCAATGCAAACTAGATGCTACCTCAGCCTCAGGTGTCACCATTTGACCAGAATGATAAAATTAGCCTATGTAGATACTATGTAGATCTTTCTACCATAATCTTAACTTTTACTGGAAGGATTTATACAAGAAATTAATTAATATGTTAATATATACTATTATAATAATAGATAATATGATTTTAATAAATTTTTATTTGTTAAGCTAAATCAGTTAATTTTATGGTGGAAGAAAGAAACGCATGATGGATGGTCAAACTTATTAGAAAACTGAAGAGGATCTTAATAGGTACCTAGTGCATTTAAATTTTTATATCTTGAATTTTAAATTAATTAATTCGATGCGATATAATCAAATTTGTTTAGTGAATGTGGAAAGATTATTCATCTTAATTATGTTTGGTGGTTTGGTGTAATTAATTTTGAATTTATCACATTATTAAGCCCGTAAAATTTTTTAATAAAATATTAATTCTATGAAATAAATTGTCAAATAACTATTAAATAATTTCAAGTTCACAGTTGCAGCCAATGTTATTGTTCGTAATATTTTTTTTATTTTATTTTAATTATTTTCCTTAAAATATTATATTAATCTTAATACAAATCTATTTTCTGTTATTTTTAGTATTATAATTACTATAATAAATCAATAGACTTATCAAGAAAATTCTGAGTATAATATCGCCAAAATAAATGATTAGGCAGAATATTCTGTTCCTATTCGTACTATAGATATACTTGAGGGTGGCATAGATGAATTGTAAAAGTGGAATTTTAAGTATTAATTCTATTCGATGTTGTTTTTGAGTCCGATAATTTAAACTATTGATTCGTCAAGATTTTAATTTTCATTTCTATTTTTCCTTTTAATTGAATGAAAACATTAGATGCAGGCAGACTGTAGAGTTCCGCAAAGTCAGATCCGATCGGAACGGATTTTTACCAATATTCGGATCTATCCGATATTCATTCTCCTCAAATCCGATCCGAATTCGTCATATACGGATCCAACTTCTTAAAATCTGAATCCGATTTTTAGTGCGAATAAATAAAAATTTTCGAATATTTTTGTGAATTCGAATATTTTCTAAAGATTCGAATATTTTTTATATAATTTGAATTTATTACTATTTTGAATTTATAAAAAGTTGCCAATTACTTAGGACCCCTGAGCAATTTATAAACTCATCGATCGTTGACACATATAAAACTTTTTATTTTATAAGTGCATATCGAAAATGATACTAAGTAACCTTAAAAACAAGAATAATTTGCATATGATATAAAAAGAACAGAATTACATCATCAAAATCAAGTGAATAATTGACATTTTAAAATTTTATCATTTAAATTTAATTATTCAGAATTCTCTCAATTTTAATTTTATAGGTCTGTTCTTTTACATGATATGTAATTTATTCTTGTATTTATAGTTACTAGATACCATTTTGGAAACTTACTTGTAATTAAAATCATTGCTATATATTAAACTTTTTATTTTTATAAGTATTTTCTAAAGTTACACTTAAATGGGGAACGAAAAAGTAACAAAATAATATTTATTGTATCACAGGATCAACGGATCAATCCGAATTCTTTTTTTGATCGATCCGAATCCATATCAGATTTCATTTTTTTAGATTCGATCCGGACCCGGATCAGTATGATCCGATCTGGATTCGATCCGCGGATCGATTTGGGTTCGCAGACTTCTTCTTTTACCAAATTCATAATTACTATTCTTTATTATGATAAAAACCAGTAATGTGCAAGGAAGATAACAACTCGATTTTTTTGTAGATCAAAAAATTTTTGCAATTCGTTGATCATGGCCGCGTCGAAGAGACAGTAGCTAGTTAGAATAGCGCAATAAATGTATTTAATTAAATTTGGTATATTAATGAAGCATTCTAACATTCCGGTGGTTAAAAAAAAAGGACGCACACAAAAAATTACGTTTTATATGCGTATGTGATTTCTTTGTTTTTCTCTTTTTGTTATATTTATTAAAATGCCTAAATATTCGTTATAATCATGATGATGATATTTTCTCAAAACTTCCCAATGAAATTTATTATAAAACACTTAAAAGCACCAAAGCAACGGATCATTTGCTATTATTTTGGTAATCACATTTCGTAATTGTATTCATTTTGTATTCGAAATAATCAGACTTTTAATAAATTGATTATTAAAATTTCAAAACTTCTTTTATTTAATAATTATAATAAGAAAAATACGATTATTGTTGTAATCATCATTATCATCATTATCAGATCTATTTAAAGAAATTTCATTAAAAATATTACAGAAATTTTTGCATAATTGAATGCAAAATATCAAATTATGGTCAATATCAGAAGAGGTTTGTTAAATATTTTTATTTCTTTTGGTTTGTTTTTAATTGCAATTATCATAATTTGTAATTTATCATTATTACAACTATTAACATATATAATAAGTGAAAAAAAAATAAATATTATCTGGTAAATATTCTGACTGTTCAATGTTCAACCAAATGTAAATTACCTTATATTTGATAGATTTAAAGACATAAAATAAACGAAAAAGATATTTTATATGATTGATTTAGTAGTAGCATTAAAAGTATAAAATTTTATAAATGAAGATCCATTATTATTTAGATAACGATTCATTTTATAAATAATATTTTATGATCTTAGAAACCTCAAATATAAAAATATCTTTCTACATCTTTTTTACATTCTCTAATTCTTTATTAAAGTAAAGATTGAATAACAACGAAGAAATAACAAAATATTTGCATCAGTGTCGTTTTTAATTTGAAGTAAATATAATGTTTTAATTTATTTAATAAATAGATTTTATTATCATTGAAATATAAAGCATAAATTACATTAAATAATGAGACTATGTATTCAATTGTACAGTTTGCATTTATTTTTTAATAATCTTAAATACTTCATAATCCAAAATAGAAAATTCATCCCTAGTTGTTCTGATAGGTTTTTCATAACAAGGCAAAAAATATTCATAATCACACAGGCAATGTTTGTCTTTAGTAAAATCAGAAACCTCTGATTTCATCATAAATTCCATCATACCAAACTGTGGACCATAAATATCACGATCACTATCACTGAATAGAGCCCACATACTGCGTCTGACCCTGCTGAGAATAGAATTTTGAATATTTCCATTTTTTAATGAAAAAATGAAACTATCCTTTGTTTCATCAAAACCACTTTTTGAACTATTCCAAGCCAAAGGATTATAACCACCAACTATTTCGTCTGTTCCGGCAACCTTTGCAACTACAATTGTGCCAGCATGTCCATGACTTATGTTCCAAAATGTCTTGGGATTAAAATCATCTCTACTTCCTCGAAGAATTAATTGAAATTGATAAGGAATGTTTTCCGAAGAATAAATAGTTGATTTTTGATCGACCCATGATGAAAGTTCTGCCGCATGTTCTTCGTTTATTATAGTCGAGAATGGTTCTTCCGGGGATGGTTCTTCTGGAAATGGTTCTTCTGGGGATGGTTCTATCGGGATCGGGAGTGGTTCTCTTGGAAGCAAAAAAATACCCAGAACAAAAATTACAAGAATAAACAAAAACAAGCCTAAAACACCAACTCTTAGTTTTATTTGCTTTTTTGGTAGTAAATCTACATTTTCGAGATCTTGTACAACTTTCTCGATATTTGGACGTTGATTTGAGTCTTGATTCCAACAATCTATTAAATAAGTAATTGATTTGTATTCGTAAATAATTTAGTTAATTATTTTGAATATTATTAATAAATGAAATCAAACCTTGATAGATATTAATATAATCTTGTGGTGTTCCAATGATTGGATCTTCTCTGTTCCCTTGTGAAATATAATCTATCAAGTCTAATTCATCCTGAAATTTAGATTCATATGGAATTTTTCCACTTGATATTTCCCAAAGCAAAATTCCAATACTATACATGTCAGAAGCTTTAGTTTTTCTATGTTCGCCCAGCCTTTCGAGAAGCATTGGGTCTAAATATTCTATTGAATTTTTTGTATTAAGTTTGGCAATACCGAAATCACTAATTTTAATAGTATTATCGTGGAGAAGAATATTCTTTGAATGCTGCAAAATAAATTGTATTAAATTAAAGGATCAATTGTTTGTTATAGTATTTTCGAAAATTAATTGCACAATTACCAGATCTCCATGAATGATATCATTTGAATGCAAATGTTCAATTGCGTTAACAATTTGTTGGGCAAGGTTTAACTTATCACTCCATTCAAGTTTTTCAAAATTAGACCCTAGGTGGTTACGTAAGGTTCCACCATTTGCATATTCTAGTACAAGTATATATTCATTGCTTTCCAAATCTATATCAAGTGCATATAAAATATTTCACAAAAAGTAATTATTAATTAGGTATGAAAAGATTAATTATTCAATTTAATATTAACCTTTTCGTGAAATTCCATAGAATTCAATTATATTTTCATGCGAACTGACACGTGAATATTGCTTAAGCTGAGAATTCATTAAAATAAATAATCGGCAAATTGGCAGGTTTTTTAGTATAGGATAATTATTAATTAGTATTTACCTCATTAACAAATAATTCCATAGTAGCGACGACTATAGATTTTAAAGCCACTGTTCTCATTCCATTCAAATTCATTAATGTTGCACTGTAAATCATTCCAAATGCCCCTTTTCCGATATTTTTAAGATTTTTAAAATCATTATAATCATATTCTTTTGAGTTATCATAGTCAATAGAATTGAAAAATGTAAATCAAATATAAAGGTGAAAAGCGTCAATCAAAAATACATTTCATAATATTATAACATAATAACAAAGAAATACCTGTAACTTCCCCCCAATTTGGTGTAGTAAATGAAGTAGGAATAGATACGGAATCTTTACTTGAAGCTTGAGATTGGTTGTTAATATTAGTTTCTAATTGAACATCTTGATTGTCATTAGAATCGTCATATACATTTTCTAATTCAATATTTTCGAGAGAATCAAAAATATTTTCAATAGATGGCCTTTGATTTGAATCATCATTCCATGCACTTAAATATATGTTGACATAATCTTTTGGTGTTTTATTAACGGGTGTTTCTCTTGCACCTGAAGTAACCTTTTTATATATTTCTAAAATTGGAATATTTTTAAATGGAGGTCTTCCACTCGACAACTCCCAAAAAAGAACTCCTAAACTATATATATCCGAAGCCTTATTTCTTTTAAATTTCACTTGACTTCGATTTCGTAAATATACAGGATCAGTGTATGCAACCATCCCACCAACGATAGAAATTGAATTTGTTTCTGATGATTGAGATAATCCTAAATCTGTTATCAGTAGCCTTCCGTCATGAACTAAAATGTTCTTTGAATGCTATTAAAGTAAATAAATTTAATATATACAGTTTAAATAATTAATAATAATAATTCATTTAATTATTTAATATATAGATAAATTTACCAAATCTTTATGAACTATATTTTCTTTGTGAATACAGCGTAGACCACTTGTAATATCTTTAGCCATTTTAATTTTAGTTTTCCAATCAAGACTTCTGAAATTATTTTGCAAATAAGTCCTCAAGTCACCATCTTTAGCATATTGCAACACTAGGTAGTATGTCTGTGTTGAAGGATCTAAATAATATTTTTTTTTATTAAATAACAATTTTATTTAATACGAATTTATTAAATAACAATTTTATTTAATATGAATTTATTAAATAACAAATAAATATTACCTATACTGATTCCATAAAAGTTAATAATATTGTCATGGTTGTGTACAGCCAGGATATTTGTTAACTGTGGTTCCAAAAAATTGTACTTAAATTTTAATTTCATCTCGAAAATATATATAATAATGAAAAATAAAGTATTTATTTTTTTACCTCTCTCACAAATCTTTCATAAAATAATTCGTCATTTCCATGCAAACTTTTTAATGCAACATGTTTTTCTAAATTTGTTGAATTAGCACGATAAACTTTACCAAATCCTCCTTTTGCGATTTCTGTAATATTTTCAAATGTGTTATAATCAAATTCTTTAATAAATCGACCCTCTAAAGCACTTTTAAGCGAATCTTTTTTGCTATATGATAAAGACATTTTTCGGAAAAATTGGAGATTTACATTATTATTTCACAAATTTATTAAGGAAATTGAATGAGAATGTGGTGACACTATGCACCAACCAACTCATGTGATTATTTTAGTCAACTTTATCGACTAGGGTGAGTTTATGCTAGAATCTGAATTAATAAAACTCTCGAATTTCCATACTTGTTTTTTGTAAAAAGTCTTTTAAATTTATTAATTGTAAAAAATAAAAATCATTTTTTTTTAAAAAATTAAATTTTCTACCAGTAATCATAGTGCCAACGTCGCTGCATCAAGCTTAAAAGTTATGAGATGCACTTCGCTTGTTCCTTTGACAATCTCCATTTGTTGTGTAATTTAAAAATATTTACAAATTGGAAATAATTCATCATATAATACTTTTATTTTAATAAGTAAATATCAAAACATACCCAGACCTAATAGTTCTAAATTAAGAGAATAATACGTGTCTAAACTTCCCATTTTAAAATTAAATTATTAACATTTAAGTGCTTACTGTTCCCTCGGTTCATTTAGGGAAGCTGGCAGTCATATAAAAAAGGTGTCACTGGGTTTATAGTTTAGTATTTAAAAATAAAAGTATAATATGTATGTAGCAACCACGACTATTATGAATTATTTCCGATTTTTATATCTACCTGAAGCTGTCGTTTAGACTATAATCTATTATTTATTTTTGATTTCACACCGTGGACCGAGATTAATATTAAATTAAGACACCATAAAAATTTTATTATTATTAACAGTTAATATCATAATTTATTATCATAACTTATTATTATCGTTATTACATCCGGAAATTTTTCTTAGGCGAAAATCTTCTTAATATTGCGAAACCTACGTATTTATGCGAGCCGTCTTGACTTTAAATCGGCGGAAATCGGTGCTAAAAAGGATATAACACGTGTTATATTGTAGCCTAAAATCAGAGCTTTCGTTCGGTCATAAGAATACCTTAATAAAAATCCATCCCCGTATTACAAATCGCGATCGAAGTCAAAAAAAAAACGGAATTTTTTGGTGTAAAAATTGCGTAAGAAATTACGGAGAAATTACGGAGTTTTTACTGTGAAGTTTTTTCTGTAATTTCTCTGGAATTTTTACGCAATTTTCAACGTTTTTTTGACTTCGATCGCGATTTGTGGGACAGGGAGTGATTTAAGGTGTTCTTGTGACTGATCGAAAGCCCTGATTCTAGGCTATAAAACAACATTTGTTACATCCTTTAAAACGAAATATGTTGACGGATATGGTACTAAAAGTTAAAACGGCCCGTATAAATACCGTAAAATATACGTATTACGGAGATTTACGGCAAATAGGGTTTCCTGATACTGCTAAACACTACAAATTAAGATATAATATAACACAAATACAAAATATGTGCAAAATTTAAATAAATATATACATATTTTTTTTTCACTTACGTGTATATGTAATTTCATCTTCCTGAATAAATGAATGCGATTTAAGAATTACACTTCTCTGTAGACTAATATATTGGCGTGGTGAAGAGCGGTCATGCATTTCAAAAAATGTTCATCTAAATATACATCAAATAAACTGAAAAAAGATTATTAAAAAGCATAATAATTTTATAATTTATAAATAAAATTTTACGAATTTCATCTTAGAAATATTTGCACATTAATTAATTACAAAAAAAAATCTTTTTACATTTTTTTTTTTACATTTGCATAAATATTCACTAACGTTTTATTAAATTAAAGGTTCAACAGTAACGTAGAAATACAAATAATTCACATATTCACAGTTAAATTTATTTAACAAATAGATATAATTACCATTATATTAAATAATGAGATTATATTATCGAATTGTATAGTTTGGGATTTATTTTTGAATAATATTAAATATCTCGTAATCTACAATGGAAAATTGATTTACCAGTGGTTCTAATAGGCTTCTCATAAGATTTAGTATAAGAAGAACAAAACATTGTTTATCTTAAGTAAAATCAAAAACTTCTGTGTTTCATCATAAATTCCAAATAATCAAGATCCGGACCATAAATATTCTGATCATCACGATAGCAAAGAGCTTTACTACTACCAATAACTCGGCTAAGAATTGAATTTTGAATATTCCGATTCCTTAATGAAAAAATGAAACTATCATTTATTTTCATAAAATCACTTCTTAATCTTGCTGAATTATCCCAAGCTAAAGGATTATAACCACCAATTATTTTATCAGTTCCTGCAACTTTTGCAACCACAATTGTGCCAGAATATCCATGACACATGTTCCAAAATGTATTGGGATGAATTTTAACAGTTGGTCTCTTTCGAATAGGAATGCTGAGAAGAACTTCAGAAGATTTGTGAATCCCATTAACACCGTTATAATCAATAACATGTACCTAAAAATAAAACCATCTCTACTTTCTCGAAGAATTAATTGAAATTCATAAGGAATATTTGCTAAATAATAAATAGTTGATTTTCGATCAACCCATGATGAAAGTTCTGCGACATGTTCTTTGTTTATTATAGTTGAGAAATTTTTATTTATTCTTGATGGCAATTTAGGATTAGAAATTATTCTCGCCGGTAAATAAGGGAATTGACGGACATAGAATGTAGGATAATGTAATCCTAAAGCTATTTTTTCAAGGTTTCATTTTCTTACAAATAACTTCACTGAGAATATGAAAATATCGGATAAGTGGTAAACATCATTGTAGAGATATTTTCAAAGCCTCGAAATTTTCTTTAAACCATCAGAAGTTAAAGTAGGATTTGATAACGTAATCCCAAATTTTAATTTCTTCGACTTCCAAATCATCTCTTTTCAAAATCGAAACCAATGCTGTTTCTTGGAGTGAAAGGAAATCTCCTGGTTTTAAAATTAAATTTGGATATTTTACAATAATATCATTATAAAATGTTTTTCAAATCTTTAAATTCATTACTATTGAAGATTGAATGATAATATAAGGAAAATGAGTTCTTAACCAAAAGCTTTAGATTCAATAAGGTAGCTTTCTAATTTTTCTGATAGCTTAAATTCTAATTCATTAGCATTGACCATCAATTCGTAAATGGTTTTGGTATCTGTATTTTCAATATTGACAATTCCACTATAGATATGTCTAAATAATAAAATTAATATAATCAATTTAATATAATATTCAAAGTAATAAATAATTTTTGACTGACTTAAGAATAATTTCAAATATTTGAGCAGAAATACTTGGTTTAATATTAATAGTTTTAAAATGATTTTCATTCTTGGTAACATTCTCTAATTCTTTATCAAAGTAGGATGAACGATAATGTAAAACAACTGAATGTGCAGTAATAGATCAACTTCGATTAAAACATTATATTCTTTTTTTATTAAGAAATTCAGAAAAATCTTGAGATATTTTATCAAAAATTTACAAGTCATTTTTATTATTTTAAACTTCAAAACTGTGATAAAGAACAATTTTTTGTACAATTATTGTCGGCTTTCACATGCTAAACGTAATACTACTTAAAATTAATTTTAAATGACACATGCAATTTAGAATATAATTAATTCTAAAATAAGTTATTATCAATTATTACTGTACTGCCAATTATTATTTAGATTCTCAATAATAATTGTAATAAAATTTATTATTATTTTTTCTCATTATTGTCTTTTAATTATTGATGATTGTAATAAAATTTTTATAATAAAAAAAATAATAATCTTTTACATAATTTTTTTTTTTTTATCTCATATTTCTCACAATAGAAATAAACACACAATTATATAAATTTAAATATTACAGATTTTACAACAAATTCTCCGAATTAATATATTCTAGATTTAATATTCCGAATTTAATTTATTGATAATTATATGAAAAATTAATTTACCAAATATGAATTTCTAATCTAATTAAAGATTTTCCGGTTGCTTCACTTCTTGCCAATTTCCAACTATTTTCATCCATTAATCCAATTAATTCACCATTCTTATTTCTAAATCTTAAATTTAAGTTATTTGAATCAAGTTCAAATCTTGATTCAAGGTCTAAACATAATCTATGAAATGGTGAATCAGTAGGAATTGCCATGGCTCTTCTTTCGGTTGGAAATACACATGTAAGGTACATCTATTGATTTAATTAATTGATTAATTTAATTTTTGATTAATTAAATGAATAATAAATTATTAAAATATAATAAATTATTAAAATATATAAATTATTAAATATAATAATAAATTATTAAGTATTAATTAAAACTTATGATATTTACCTTTTGTCCTTCTTTTTGTAATTCATTTCGAATCCCTTGCGTACGAAACCATACTCTTTCAATTTTTGATTCAATATCAGATAATTTTGAAAAATCTCGTGTAGGATTATAAGGGATTAAAATTACAGAAATTAATTGATTAAATTTTCCATCACTTGTTGGATCATTATCCAATATTGTAGGATCTAATAAATATGGATATCCACCAAGATGAAGATGATGCTAAAATATATATATATTACATATAGAAAAATTATATATAAAATTATATTAAATTATCACGAAATGAATTACATAATAATATATCGTATGATAATTAAAAAAAAAAAACTTACTATCACTTCAAAATCCGGTTTAAGTCTTAAAAATATCTTTCCGTCATTTCCGATCTTAAATCCGCACAATTGATCAATCGGAATTAAAGCTTCATTTGACATGTTATTAAAACAGATTGAAATATCTCCGATGTCATTAAAGGTATTGTTATCATTATAAGTTTTATTTAAGAAAGCTAAATCTCCAGAATGTTGAGCGGGAAGATTAACAAGAGGTTTTCCATTAATATATTCGAATGTTATATGAGTAATATCAATTTTTATTAAATTTTTGGCAATTCTGGGATATTGTTTTCTTGGTTGTAGTTGTAATTGGGAAATAGGTGGAGGAGAATTTTTCATTTCTAATGGATATGATGGAGGTTGAATGTATGATAATGGTATTGGTTGTTGTGATTGAAATTGTTGTTGTAGCTGTAATTGTTGTGGTTGAAATTGTTGTTGTTGTTGATGTTGTCGTTGTGATTGGAAGATTTGAGATTGTGATTGAAATGAAAGATCAAGAGAATTATTATTAGATTGTTGAGATTCATAAAATGAAGATAGATTTTGATTTTGATTATTATGTGATATTAAAGGAGTTGAAAAAGAAGCAGTTGATGATTGTACTAAAGGAGTGGATACTTGTGATAAAGGAGTCGTTAATTTTGATAAAGGAGTCGCTAAAGAATTTGATGTTTGTGACAAGATTTGAGATGATGATAAAGGTCGTATCTGTTGTATTCGTTGTATCTGTTGAGCATCTGATGATGATGACGATACTGGAATTGTATGAAAAGTTGGTTTTAATATTTGAGAATGTTGCGATTGTTGTAGATCCTTTTGATTATTTTGATTATTTTGATTATTTTGATTATTAATGTTATTGGGAAATAAAAATTTTGTCGCCGTTGTTGATGTTGTTGTCGATGTTATTGTTGTTGCTGTTGATGACGGTGGTAATGATAACGTTTGCTGTTGTTGTTGTTGTTGTAGTAGTTGAGCTTGGTTATTTAAACTATTGATTTCGTTAAGATTTAAAGTACCACCAATTTTCTCAATTCTCTTTTTTTCTTCGAATTGAATGAGGTCATTGGCTGTAATGGTAGCAGAGTCGGCTTCATCGTCATCAAATTCATTGTCACCAAATTCGTCGTCGTCGTCGTCGTCGTCGTTGTTAAAATTACTTATATTATTTTTCCTCAAAGAAGAAGGATAATGAGAAGAAGAATTATGTTGGAAAAAATCAAAAGCATCATCATTATTATTCAATACATTCGTTCCACTCATCACACTACTATTATTTCTAAATATCCCGTTATTGCTACTAATAATATTATTATTGTTATTATTATTATAATTATTATTATTATTGTTATTATTATTGTTAGTGTTGTAATTATAATTATTAATATTGTTATTATTAATATTGTTATTAATATTATTATTATTAATTATATTATTAATGTTATTATTATTAATGTTATTATTATTAATATTAATAAGATCAGCTTCTTGTACTAATTCCTTTGGATTATTAAATGACATTGTTGACATTGATGCTAACATCGTATCGAGATCTATAAATTAAATTTAAATTTTGTAAAAAATAATTTTAATTTTTAAATTAATTTATTTTTTTTAAAATTAATAACGAATTTAAATTAATTTAGTTAATTTAATTTAGTCTTAAAATTTATTTATTTACAAAAATTAATTTAAATTAAATTTTGTTTATTAATTAAGTTTAATTTTAAAATACAAAATCATAAATTTAAAGGTTTTACCGTTATTATTGTGATTAAGTATCATTGGATTGACTAAATCATCCAAATCGTCAAAAGGTCGTGACATTGGAGATGATGGAGGTGTTGCTGTATTTTATTATTATAAATGTATTTTTATTTTTATTTTTTTTAAAAAAAAAAATCATAAGGATGTTTCGTGAAAAAACAAAAACTGATAGAACTAAACTAAACTAATAAAATAATTTGCAAATTATAACAATGAAAAATGATCTTTAACAAATAAAGAAATTACCGTAATACGAAATACAATCATCATCTGTAGTGGAAATATCCATTTATATATATATGTCCAAAGTTCTTTTTTTTATAGAAAAATAATAATAACTGAACTTGTTCGTATATGTAATTAAAAAAAAGAAAGAGAAAAAAGAGATGATGATTTGGATTCAAAAAAAATATACATAAATCATATAAACATGATGTTTTTCCCTTTCCAACTCCGAGTACACAAATCAGGTAATTTACAGGATCTTGATCACATGTCTAGCGGATATTAATTTCAAGTTATGATAGAAGAGAATGCGGAATTACTAAATAGTTCAAAATTTGTTTTATTTCAATGGCTAAGCCATAAATAACGAAACGCCGATCATGTGTAAAATATGAATATTTTAATTGGTTTTTGGAAATGCAGCATTTTTTAGATAATTTTTGTTTCTATTCTGCGAGATCATATTATATTAAAAAAAAAAATAAGCAAAAAAAAAAATATAAATGTATTTTATGTTCAGATGGCATGAAATCCAAGTTTATTTGTTATTGTTTATTCGATGTTTCTCGTAATTAACATCTACGTACATTGACTATAATAATAAAAGATATTTTAATTACTTTATATTAGATTGAATCAAAATAATTAATAATTAAGGTTCACATACTTTAACATTCACAGTAGTGTAATTTTCAATTTTTAAATAAATTTAGTTATTACGTTTAAAATTATTTAATTCATTTAATTCATTGTAATTCAAGAATAAAAAAATAAAAAATAAGATATTCATTAATTAACTATACGAATTCTAGAAACCTTAAGACATGATCCGCCTAAGAACGGCACTATTGACATATAAAAAAGTGGGTAAATTTATATATATTTTAAGTATGTTTCAAATCTTTTATAGGTCTAAACATAATAATTCATATTAATTTTAAAAATTTGATTTTTTCAGTGTATAAGAAAGTATCTTTTATTTTTTGAAAAATTCGTCAAACTTTTTACAAAACAATATCCAAATAGTATACTTAACAGATACTAAAACTTCATCTATGACTATTTTGTACCAATTTATACTTACATATAGGGCAGCTGATTATTTATAGTTTTATTAAATAACTTATCCCCAGATTATATTATAAAACGAGTGTCGAATCACGTCTTAAATACTTCATATCTACAATAGAAAATCTTTCAATAATTGTTCTAATAGGTTTTTCATAATAATTAATATTACTAAGAAAATCATGCCAACAATGATATTTTTTATCTCGAGTAAAATCAGTCCATCTCAAACTCACAATTACCAAACCATGAACCACAAGTAAATATATAACTCGGCTGAGAATTGAATTTTGAATATTCCCATTTATTTATGAAAAAATGAAACTATCATTTGTTTTGATTCTTGAATTACTGTATATGAATTATCCCAAGTTAAAGAATTATAACCACCAAGGATTTCATAAGTTCCTGCAACTTTTGCAACCACAATTGTACCATAATGTTCACGACACGTGTTCCAAAATATCTTGGGACGAAAATCATCTTTGCTTCCTTAAAGAATTAATCGAAATTCAGAATAAAAAGTTGATTTTCGATCAATCATGATGAAAGTTCTGCAAAATGGTCTTTGTTGATTATGATTGAGAATGGAAATTCAGGGCTGAAATTGTTCTCGAAGGTATAATTCAGGATTGGAAGTGATACTTAACGATTTATTTGAGCACATAGAATGTTGAATTATGTCATCCCAAAGCTGTTTTTCAAAGATTTTTTTATAGGGTTTTACTCTCTCGAAATTATCTTCACTGGGAATGTGAAAATATCGAATAAGTGGCAAACATTGTTGTAGAGTAATTTTCAAAGCCTCAAAATTTTCATTAATCCATTCTTTCGAATCAGTAGGTAAAGTAGGATTTTGTGCAATTCCCCATTTAATAACATATCCCAAATTTTTAATTTCTTTGATATTCAAGTCTTCCCTTTTCAAATAGAAACCGATTCTGTTTCTTGGAGTGAAGAGAAATCTTCTGATTCATATTCTAATTATCTCTTAGATGATTTTGTTATCAATATCTTCGATTCAAAGTTAACAATTCCACTATATATGTGTCTAAAATAATAAAATCTATTTTATGTTTATTAATTTTGGGTCACTTAAGAATAATTTCGAATATTTGAGCAGAAATATTTAGTTTAATAATCGTTTTGATATTATTTTCATTCGTGGGCAATGTTCTCCAATTCTTTGTCAAAGTAGGATAATAAGACAATTGAATGTGCATTAAAAGATTTCTTATTTTCCCCTTTTATCGATCTGAATGACAACTTTATATTCTTTTTTCTCATTAAGAAGTTCGAAAAAATCTTGAGATAATTTATCAAAAAACATTAAGGCCATTACAAACTCTGACGTTGATGTTATCACAGCAGCAGCTGATTACCTCGTTGTACAATTTAGCAAACTAGTTCACAAAAGCAAAAATGCTATGCCTCGATTTTTTTATGATAAATATTATATAATTAATATCAGAATTATTGTAATAATATACGTAGAAATAACAAATAACTTCCTGAAAACTATTACGAGTATGTTAGTAATTAAAATGTTCATATTTAAAACGATGTAATTTTAAATAAATATAGTTATTACTTTAAATTTATTTAATAATAAATACAATTTATTATTATAAAATATAAAATAAAATATTATATACAAATTGAATGATGAAATTAAATTATTCCATTTAACAGTTTGGAATGAGAAATTAATGCTTTTTAATAATCTTAAATACTTCATAATCTACAATAGAAAACCATTCAGTAGTTGTTCTGATAGGTTTTTCATAATTATTATCATCAATATCATACTAACACTGACATAATTTATCTTGAGTAAAATCGGAAACATCTGATTTCAACATAAATTCATAACTACTAAAAGATGGACCATAAGTATTCTGATCATTACAATTATGATAGTATAGAGCTCCACTACTATATATAACTCGACTGAGAATTGAATTTTGAATATTTCCATTTTTCAAAGAAAAGATGAAACTATCCTTTGTTTCCACATGAACATATTTTGAATTATCCCAAGCCAAAGGATTGTAACCACCAACTATTTCTTCAGTTCCTGCAAGTTTTGCAATCATAATTGTACCAGCATGTCCATGACACATGTTCCAAAATGTCTTGGGATTAAAATCATCTCTACTTCCTCGAAGAATTAATTGAAATTCATAAGGCATATTTGATAAAGAATATATATAGTCGATTTTCGATCAACCCATGATGAAAGTTCTGCAACGTGTTCTTTATTAATTATAGTTGAGAATGGTTCATTCACTCTTGGTGGCAATTCAGGAGTTGAAAGATTCTTGCTGGCAAAATAAGAGATTAACGGGTTTACTTGAGGACATAAAATGTTGAATTATGTCATCCCAAAGCTGTTCTTCGAGGATTTTTTTGTAGGGTTTCACTTTCTCCCAAATATCTTCGCTAGAAATATGAAAATATTGGATAAATGGTAAACATTGTTGTAGAGTTATTTTCAGAGCCTTGAAATTTTCTTTAGACCATTCTTTCAAACCAGTAGGAAAAGTAGAATTTTGTGCAATTCCCCATTTAATAACGTAATCCCAAATTTTAATTTCTTCGATATTCAAGTCATCCCTTTTCAAAATAGAGACCAATGCTGTTTCTTGGAGTGAAGAGAAATCTTCTGATTCAAAAATTAAATTTGGATACTTTGTCAATAATATCGTTATAAAATTTTCCAAACCTTTAAATTCATTACTATGAAAAATTGTACGATAAACAAAGGAAAAATGAGTTTTTAACCAAGAAGCTTTAGATTCAATAAGATAACTTTCCAATTTTTCCGATAGTTCCTTAAGTTCTAATTCATTAGCATTGACCATTAATTCATAAATGGTTTTGGTATCCGTATTTTTAATATCAACGATTCCACCATAGATATATCTATAAAATGTATTTTATTATATCAATATCGAGTCACCATATGAATAATTTAATAATAATAATTTTTCTAATCACTTACTTAAAAATAATTTCGAATAGAGGAGCAGAAATATTTGGTTTAATAATAGTTTTGATATTATTTTCATTCGTGGTAGCGTTCTCCAATTCTTTATCAAAGTAGGATGAACGATAACGTAATACAACTGAGTGTGGGTAAAAGATTTCTTATTTTCTTCTTAACAAAGAGTATAACGTTGTCATTGAGATTGATTGTCATTAAGAAGTTTCGAAAAATCTTGAGATAATTTATCAAAAATTTAAAGGTCATTTTCATTATTTAAAACTGCACTGCACAATAAACGTTTATAAATGTAACCTGATGTTGAAAAATGTATGGATCTGCAAATTAAGTGTAATGTTTTTTACTTATTAATGTCATCATTTATTATTTTGACAATATATTTTGTTCTTGGATACAATAAAAAATTTCGCTAATAACAATTAATAATGTAATGATTTATGATGCAAAATATAGAAAACAAATAATGATATGATATCAAAATTTGGGTTATGAAGAATTGTCGCTTATAATATATTTTACAGAAATATCTTTGTACGAGAAGACCCGAGCATCTCTTCAAATCATTTTTATAAATTCTCTTCATCTATTTTATATACTGTAAAAACAAGACAAAGGATTTCTTTTAAGCTTTTTACCCTATAAGACATTATACGGACATAATCTCATAATTAGTGTTGAAGGTGGTCTGAATTTACCAGAAATAGACAAGAATTCGAACCTTAATATACAGATAACATTGCAATGCCTCTTGAAGAAAGAAATATCAGGTAGCTTGGAATTGTTTTTATAGCGCATGCAGATTTAAGTAATGCAACCGCAAATTCTGGAAAGAACATTTACTTATGGGAATTGTTGTTGAGAAAAATCATAAACAAGCTACTGAATTATTTCACCGCAGATGTTATGCATTTTTTACTTTCTTAAATTTTTAATAAAAATAGCAGATAATGGCGAACGCGCTACTCAATGCAACTTCGAGAATTAAGTAAGAATTATTTAAGATTGACTGCTATTCTTATTCTTAATACATGACGTGAATGAATTAAACATTTGTCCACGCCAAAGCTCTCCAAATCCACGGTATTTAATCATCGAATCAGCTTCAGTGCTTATGCATTTTTAGATAAGATAAAGAAACAAAGCATTTATTTTTCATAAAAATAAGTAGAAACTATTTCATCAGTTCCTGCGACTTTTGCGACCACAATTGTGCCAACATGTACATTACATATGTTCTAAAATGTCTTGATGTGAAGTGATTCAAAAATCAAATTTGGATATTTTATAATAATATCATTATAAATTCTTTTCGAACCTTGAAATTTATATCTAAAATATGAATATTTTATTATACCATTCAATTTTTGATAGTAATAGATTTTAAGTTATTTTATTTAAAATATAATTTTTAATAAGCAATATGAGTAATACTTTTTCTGAAACCTTAACCAAATAATTGTATTTAATTTTATAAATTTAATTTTTATTTTTTAAAAATAAAAAAAATTGCAAAAGGGTAATTTTAAGTTGCTCTTGAAAAACAAAAATAAAACATAATTTGCATCCGGAAGCAAACAATGATCTTTAGCAAATATGGAAAATAAAGAAATTATTTAGTTCTGATTAATTAAAAATTTTTTAAAAAAAGAAGATATTTATTTAGATTCAGAAAAATATACAAAATACGTTACGTAAATTTTATGATGTTTTCCTTTTCCAACTCTGATTACAAAAACAAGGTTACATTGATTTTTGGATCATTTTTTAAATATATACATAATGAAATCTTAATACTGCGTAAAGCATGTATTTTAATATAACTTATATAATATTTAAAATTAGATTTTTGAATTGTAGCATTTTTAGATAATTTTGTTTCTACGAGATCATGATTAGCAATAAGCAAAAAAATATAAATATATTTATATTCAGGTGACATAAAATCTTGAATTCATTTAATATTGTTTATTCAATGTTTTGCCGAATAACTCATTAGCAACAATTACAGAATTATCATCTTTATAGTTATTAGGATTACTAATCTCACTGTACACATACAGTATATACAGTACATTATGAATCCCTACATTGAATATAATAATAAAAGAATTTTTAATTACTTAATATTAGATTGTATCAAGATAATTTTCAATTTTAAAGAAATATAGTCATTGCGTTTAAATTCATTAAAATACAAAATTATAAAATAAAGAATAATAAAATTATATTATCTAATTGTATAAATTTTAATAATCTTAAATGCTTCATGATCTGTAATAGAAAATTTTTCTGTGGTTCTGATGGGTTTTTCATAACAATAAGTAATAGAAGAAGAACATGAACATTGTTTATCTTGAGTAAAATCGGAAATATCTGATACCATCATAAATTCGAAATTACCAAACCACGGACCTGATCATTAGAATTACTGTATGATAATGTAGAGCTCCCCTACTATCTATAACTCGACTGAGAATTGAATTTTGAATATCCCCATTTTTTAATGAAAAAATGAAACTATCATTTGTTTCCAGAAAACACCTTCTGTTGAATTATCCCAAGCCAAAGGATTATTTCCACCAACTATTTCGTCAGCTCCTGCAACTTTTGCAACCACAATTGTACCAGCATGTCCATGGCACATGTTCCAAAATGTCTTACAATGAAAACATCTCTGCTTCCTCGAAGAATTAATTCAAATTCATAAGGAATTTCGATAAAGGATAGATAGTCGATTTTCGATCAATCCATGAGTTTCGCGGCATGTTCTTTGCTGATTATAGTTGATTCATTCAGTCTTGAAGGCAATAAAGGATTGGAAATGATACTTGCTAGTAAAAAAAGAGAATTAACGGGTTTTGGGAACCAACTAAAAATAGTTGATGTAAATGACTGATCAGAGGTGTTTGTTTGATGTGAAATTAACGTGAAATTTTGAACTCATTAATTAACAATCTAAATGCTCACTCTATTAATTCAACAAAATTATTTTCAAAATCTACATATTCGAAATCTCGTATGACTTCCCCAATATTTGGACATTGATTTTGGTCTTGATTCCAGCAATCTATTAAATAAGTAATTATCATATAAGTAATTGATTCGTATTCGTCAACAATTTAGTTAATTATTTTGAATATTTTTAATGAAATGAAATCAAACCTTGATAGATATTAATATAATCTTGTGGTGTCCCAATGATTGGATCTTCTCTGTTCCCTCGTGAAATATAATTTATCAAGTCTAATTCATTCTGAAATTTAGATTCATATTGAATTTTTTCACTTGATATTTTCCAAAGCAAAATTACAATACTATATATATCGGAAGCTTTAGTTTTGCTACATTTTCCCAGTCTTCTGAGAAGCATTGGGTCTAAATATTCTATTGACCCCAGAGCATATTTAAGCTTCTAATTGAATATATTGATTGTCATTTTCATTGTTCTCGTTATATATATTTTCTAATTTGATATTTTCGAGAAAATCGAAAATATTTTCAATGACCACTCTTGGAAAAAAGAAGGTCGCGAGTGAATAGTTGGCCTTTGATTTAGGTTTATCATTTCATGCACTTAAATATATGTTGATATAATCTTTTGGTGTTTCATTATTAAGTTTTTCTCTTTCACCGGAAATAACCTTTTTATATATTTCGAAACTTGGGATATTATTAAATGGAGGTCTTCCACTTGATAACTCCCAAAAAAGCATTCCCAAACTATATATGTCAGGGGCTTTATTTCTTTTATATTCCATATGATTTTGTAAATATTTTGGATCAGTGTATGTATGCAATCATTCCAATTCCACCAGCCGTAGAATTTGAATTGGCATCTGATGATTGAAATAATCCTAAATCTGTTATCAATAGCCTTCCTTCGTGAACTAAATGTTCTTCGAATGCTGTTAAAAAGTAAATGAATTCAGATATACGATTTAAACAATTAATATTATAACCAATATAATTATTTTATATGAAAAATGTACTTACTAAATCTTTATGAACAATATTTTCTTCGTGAATACAACTTAAACCACTTATAATATCTTTAGCCATATTAATTTTCATTATCCAATCAAGTCTCTTGAAATTCGTTTGTAAATAAGCCCTCAAGTCTCCATCTTTAGCATATGTAGCACTAGGTAATATATCTCCGTTGAAGGATCTAAATAATATTTTTTTATTGAATAACAATTTTTATTTAATACGAATTTAGTAAATAACATTTAAATAATATCTATATTTATTCCATAAAAGCTAATAATATTTAAATTGGTTTAATCGGCATGATAAATGCCCCACTTGCGGAATAGTGTTTAAATTTTGATCATGTTTCTTTTTTGTAATAAATTTTTTTATAAATTTTTTTTATTACTTACCTTTCTACCTTAGGATCTGTTCTATTTTGACATAAGTGCCAAACGTAATAATATAAATAATATTATTATTATTAAATAAAAGAAGTTTGTAAATTTAAATAACTAATTTTATTAATATCTACGAATTTAACGATGAATACAATTCAACGTATATACGTAATAGGTACATAAATAAGCATAGGTATAAGAATTATAATTACGTATTCATTACCAACCAATTATTCAAAACAAATACACCACAACAACATAAAAAAATGAATCGTATTTCACACATCATTCAAGTTTTAACATTTTCCATATGAACATGAATAATATAATAAATAATCAAACATAATAAATAAATAATCATAATATGTGAAATATTGTATATAAAGAAATGTACCTCGAGGTATTTCTTGCCCTTCAAAAATTTAAAATAAAATTACAACTATTGTCACAGATTTCGATGATACATTAATAAATATAAAGCAATAAATTTTGGATTCCACGATTTTTTTTTGTTTAAATAGAAATTCATTGTAAACAAATGATAATAATAAATCAATAAATGTTAATAATAATATATACAATTGTAACTGGACTTTGTGATTAGTGTTTTCACATAATTTTTTTTTTTTTTGCGAAAAAGGAAAAAATAGGGTAAATTTTTTAGATTTTAGAAAATTTTTGGATATTAAACTGAATTTTTTTTAAAATATCTTTCAATTGCATATTTTTTAATTTTATAATTATTATATGTATATCTAGTTATTTGGAAATACAAATTCTTTAGAAATATTTAAAATATTTATAGCAAAAATAAGCGATATAAATTCTTGATCAAATTTAAAAAAAAAAATAAAATGCGATTTCACCTAATAAAATTATGGCTTCAATAAAAAGAAAAAATTTTAATAAATTTAAAAATTCACATAATGTAAATGAGTATGAAATCATCATCAAGTAATAATAATACAGGAAACAATAATTCAAGTATAATTACCACCAAATATTATTCCTTGTTACACTTTGGAACATTATTTCGAGGTAACGTAAAGCGAAGTTGAGTGTTTTCAGTCGTAAAATGTTATAATGATTATTAATAATTATTATATTGATGACGATAATAATTGTTATTTGGTTATTTACTATTTTTCAATAATAATCATTATTTAATGAATTATTGTTAAATTTCTCATTACCTTTATTATTAAAACATAAAATTTTATTATATCAAAAAATAGATTATTTTTATTCTCAGAAATGGTAAAAAAAGTTGAAATATTTGTATTTACTTTGCCTCATCTTCTTTCTTCATCATTTTTCCTTTAAAACTATCATAATTATTATTTTTAAAATAATGTTGATCAATTGAATTATGTGTGATGCAAATTTACACGTAGGTTAAATTATATGTAATCGTGAATTAATTAAAGAAAAGATAAATGAGTTATTCACTATTTAAATTGGATAAATTGTATGGAGCATAATTATTTATTATTGTTATGTGATGATAAGAAAGTGATGATAGAAGTGAAGCAAAAGTCTTTATATTGATTATTTTGGGCAGGGCACTGAAGAGGATAATGTTTCCTTGTCATTGATATTCCTTTAGGTATTTTTTTTCTTTAGTACTGAAAATCTAACTCTTGTGATTTTTTATAATATCATCATCATCATCAATATGATCAAGTAAAGTAAATTGAATAATACATATCAAGAATTAATTTATTACATCCGAAAAAATAATTCCCTTGTTATTCTTGATTAAATACTCCCTCATTTATCCCTTTTAACCATATTTGGATCTATAAAATCAGTGATAAATAATGAACGCGAAATTTAAAATCCTCCAATTATTTTTTCCTATGAAATTGCTAATCGAAATAATCCATCATCATCATTAACGATTTTCATCGCTACCATATTTCCATGAACATTACTTGATAATAAATTGATATCATTTCCTTCTTCGGATGAGAGTAAATTAAAAGATGAGGAATGAGATTCATTCTTAGTGCATGAACTTTGAGCTAATGGGTTATTCTATAAATAAATATGATTAATAAAAATAAAATTTAATTCGATAAGAAATATAAATCATATACATTTAACAATAATAATAATAATAAAATAAATAATAATAAAATAATAAATAATGCATCGCTGTACCAATAAATAAAGCAACTTTCTTCTTGACTTCATTTGAATCGTGATTTAAAAGTCAAATAATAAATTTCAATACATCATTTTTGGATAATTTAATACTAAAATCAAGTTCATAAACTAATTCTTCTAATCCATCTAATATAGATAATATATTTGCTGTGGTGGTGATGAAGATGATTGGATTAATTGAGGAATATAATATAATTATCAAAGAGTAAATGATCCTAATGCAAAAAACAATTATTTTCTTTATGTCGTTGTGATGGCAGTGATTGGGGTTGTGGTTTCTTTTAAGTACTATAATTGCTTTGGTAAAGAATAAGTATAATCCTTATAATTATACTTATTTCTATTCTTATATCTATCCCAAGATCCAATGTATCATGCCATGTAATGAATCTTTTAATAAATTTTTTAATGATTATTGTAATGATTCTTGGTGATGCATAGTATTAAATTTGGAAAATGTTTCATCATTTCAAAAATAACGACTTCCAATGATAATCTTGAATCATCAGGATTCAAAAGTTTTGCATATTCTTTTCCCGTTTCGAAATCAATTTTAGTATGAGATCCTAATAAAACGTGAAAGGTGAATTCGTAAGTATAATATGATATAATGAAATAATTAATCAAACAGAATAATAAAATAATGAAAATAACAATAAACAAACATACTATTCTATTTCTCATTTCATAAACATAAATATTTTTCATTAATATATTTTTATTTTAATAACCATTTTAATAAATCATTAAAAATAAAAAATAAAAAAAATAAGAAATAAAAAAAATAAAAAGAATAAGAAATAAAAAAAAAAATAAAAAAATAAAAAATAAAAGAATAAAAATAAACCATGAAATATCAATTAATTAATTAACTAATTACTACAAATCAATAGCTAAATAGCAAAATTCATTACCTAAATTTATCAATTCATAAGTTTTTCTAAATTTAAAATCTATTGATTAATTCACTCCATAATAATTTCCTTTTCATCCAATAACTGATTATCTTATTAAAAACTCTTTAAATCAATTAATTAAAATTATTAAAATAAAATAATTAAAAAATAATTAAGAATAAAAACTAATAAATTTAAATATATTGAAATAATAAAATCAATAAAATTATATTATCTCAAAACAACATCACATCACACTCACTCTCCACTCTCACCCACACATACCTTTCCATACACATACATTATACATTTGTATAAAGGATATTGCCTTGAAAGTTGAAAGTGAAGTAATATATCACACATTCCTAACAATAAGAAAAATTAAATTAATCTCGATCAAATAACATAAATATATATATAATTACCATATAATTGACCGAGATTCACAATTCTATTTTATCAATTGATAATCTTTCCCCTCCTCTCCTTCCCTCCTTTATCAAATTTGTTGTTAAGAATTAATTGATATTATTATTCTCATCATTCTTACCAATAATACTAATTTAATGCAAATTTTACTTCTTAAATACATTTCTATTATGATGGAGAAGATCGTTCATCAAACAAATCAGATTCAACCGATAAAACCAAGAATTGACTTGATTCACCTCTATAAAATATACACATTTGAAAATATTAATATAATATACTTGAATATATTAAATTAACATCATCATCATTTAAATACAGTATATACAGGGTTAAATGCAATGCTTACCTGCAAAATTGACTAAAAAATGTCTTTCGAAAATATGACAAATATTATGTTCCTTAACAGGGATATGTGGCACAAGATGACACATATGATGATGATGAATTCTAAATTACTAATCTTGATGTTACATAATTTATGGCGTTATACCTGTTTACCTAGAAAATTCCTAAAGTTGCAAAATTTCGGTCACGTGGAATAACAACAAATATAATTAAGGAATAGTGTGGCGACACGGAAACGTTCGTGACCACTGAAGGTGGCGAACAGAGGTGGTAGTTGCACCAAGTAGATTATG